TTGGGAGTGAAGATCAGGGGCGTAGCTGAGGTAGGGCCTGAGGGGGCCTGGGCCCTACCATCAAAGTGGCCTTATAATTATATTCATTGAAATTATAACCCAAAAGATTATATTCATTGTTCTTACAATAACAAAAGGGGGTGGCTGATAACCATAGCTCTTTTTAAAGCTATATACAATGATAATTTCACTCTGATTTCGCTCAGCTTGCAGGAAAATGCTTCCATTTTGTTACGTAAAAGGGGTGTGGCCAAAATTGCGGCGCGCTTCGCACGCCATTTTTGTCTCCTTGCCCTACCATCACCCAAGGTTCAGCTACGCCCCTGGTGAAGATACGAGTATATGATACTATTGGATTTGGTGATACTGAAGGAAGGAGCGATCAGAGTATTATTGAGGAGATGGCTAAAGGTAACAGATTTGATTTAATATTAATCTGTGTAAAAATGGATAACAGAGTTAGTGTTGAAGTTCAAAAGATGTTCACTACACTTTCTAGTAGAATGCACCCAGAAGCATGGAAGAGGTCAGTAGTTGTTTTGACGTTTGCTAATTTCTTCGTTCAACTACAAAATGTCCCACCATCGACTCAAGAAGAGGAAGAAAAGGAAATGAGAGAGGAGATTAAAACTTTTGAAGACCTCATTTCTAAAGCTGTTAGCAATAAGGAAGTATTCTCTGGTGTGCCATTTTGCATTGCTGGTAAGGCAAATAAAAATCTAAGAAAATTGCCGACTACAAATGACTGGTTATTGGACTTGTGGAAAATTTGTCTTCGACACTGTAGTGATGAGGCACGCTCTTTTTTTACAAGTTACACAACTATCGCTATAATTGCTGGCTTAGTTCTAGTTGGAACTCTAGTTTTTGTAGGTGGATATTTTATTGCTCCTGCAGCAGTTCCAGCTGTTGCTGCAGCTGCAAGTGTTGCCACTATAGGAAGTACAGCATTAGGAGCAAGCCTTCAAGCAAAAATTGGAATAGGTCTTGTTGGTTCAACCCTTGCTGTAGGTACTGCGATCATTTTGAGTTTCATGCAAGAAAAAGAAACCAAAGAGAAAAAAAAGGACGATTGAGTATGAATATATTTTATTGCTAGAACTGTTAGTATGTATTAGCATTATGTGTATGGTCTTCAATCATGTAGAAGTAGACCTATTATAGGTTATATTTTTTGTATTTTTTGCTAAGTTTTGTTGATATCATAATTTTTTAAAATTTTATATTATGTTGTAGCAATAAAAGCTAGAAGACTAGGCACATCACTATAAATTGAGTGCCAGATTGATCCAATATGATTCAAGTGTCTAATGATGAAATGCATGTACATGTACAACTAAGGTCAACAATGTACATGCATAATTCATGCAATATTAAACCAAATTAATAAACAACAATTAAATAATAATGTTCATAATGACAACAATAATATGACATATACACACGACATGGCTTTTAACATGACTACTATTAAAAACCAGTCTATAGAGGGTTAATTAATATTCATAGTGATCGTTGATGTATTGTATGAGAGGCTGAGGATGAGTTCCATTAGTACCTGCAGCAATGGACAATAGATTAATAGTGTACACTTTATTTGATGCTATCGTGGAGTTTCATGTTATTCTTTGCCGTTTTATAGGATAACCTAAAAGAGAGGAGAGAGGGAGGGAGGGAGAGAGAGGGAGAGAGAGACAGAGAGAGGGAGAGACAGAGAGAGAAGGATTTCATAGTATAAATTTCACAATATCTTCTACATGTAGTTTTTATAAATAATTTTAAACAGGTTACAAGTAATATAAACCTATCAAAACTATCTCTTAGGAATACAGTACATGTAGTACATGTACTAAATTTATAATGTAATAAAAAAACCTATCAAAATAAAAATAAACCTATATAAACTATTTTAGGAATACAGTAAATGTAGGTACATATACATGTACATCTGAATTTATAATATGATTTATAATTTATAATATTTATAAATGTACTAAATTTATGATATAATACAAATACATACATATACATGTAGCTCACCTCCTCTGTTTAGTAGCCTCAGGAGACAGCAATTCAGGAGTAGCTCCTTCAGCCCCATCCTTTGCTCCTTCCTTCTCTTTCTCTTCTCCCTCCTCCTCCTCTATCTTAAGGCTCCTCTGGTACCAGTAGTCCCTGGTCCTGGAGAGGTGGTCTATGATGACCTGAGCATCAGGGTAGACCAGCTCTCCCCACGTCTCCCACAATGGGAACACAATGTAATCAATGAAGGTTACCTTTAAAAAATAAAAATGAAATTGTTGCACATTCAACATTTGAGTTTGTATGTGAGTACAAATACATGTAAAATTTTACATGCATGAATCTTAAAAATTATTGCTACAAAAACTACATGTATGCACATGTAGATGCATGTACTGTATAAGCAAGGCACATGTAACTTTTTAATATCTGGAGAAAGAGTCTTAAGTAATAAGGCTACAAGAAGAGATAGGAGCAAGCCAGTAACTTACTTAAAATTTCCTTTCATGCAAGTTCATGTACATTCCTTTCATTACTTAGGCTTGCCCCTTCATGTTTACATAATAATTAATACTCCCACAGTACCTGGCATTTTTCAATAGAGACATTATCCCTGTCACCAAGAGGGCTGATATCAAGGCCAAGCTTCTTCTCCTGGTCTCCTTGCTTGAAGGACTCTTCCATTATCCTGTGAGCCCATTGACTGGCTATTTCTACTGGTTTAGCAGTGTTGCTCAGATCAGCACAATGAACCAGACACTGGAGTATCTGCATAAAAAAGAGAGAGGACAAGATAATATTTGAACATTTTAAAAGTAGAGAATTTGCGCTAGAATTCTCTGGAGTAAGCAGCATTCTTGAATAAGCATTCTTGATTAAGGAGCAATCTTTGAACAATGGACTATAGCTTACACTATTTTTTTCCAAACTAGAGTACTGGCGCTTTTCACCAACTTTTCTGATATCTTTATGCTATGTGGAGAATTTGAGTTTGTTTTAATTAAAAGTTTATGAGTTTTAAAAATAAGCCAATTTCTGCAAAATACCCTGTGGCCGTGGTTTTTTCCACAAAATGGCTGAAAAATCATCCCCCATTTTTATTACATTTTTTGATACGTATTGATGTCGTTATGCTGTATAGAAAGTTTGAGTTGATTCCAACTTAAATTTTTCAAGTTATGACTGGCCAAAATCTAAAAAAATCCCTGTACTATTAGAAAAAATGGCCCAAAAATCACCCCCAATTTTTATTACATTTTCCGATACATATTGATGTCCTTATGCTGTGTAGAAAGTTTGAACTAATTCTGACTTAAACTTTTCAAGTTATGGCTATTTTTTAAAACCGGCTAATTTTTCAAAAATCCCTGTACTATAGCCCATGGTTTTTTCAAAAAATGGCTCAAAAATCACTCCCAATTTTTATTAAATTTTCTGATACATATCGATGTCCTTATGCTGCGTAGAAAGTTTGAACTAATTCTGACTTAAAATTTTCAAGTTATGGCCACTTTTAAAAATAAGCCATTTTGAGAAAAAATCCATGTAGCTATAGCCCACATCATCTCATACATGTAAATGCACATTCTAAACTATACAACATACAGTACATATACATGTATATATACATGCACTACAAAGTCTCATTAACTTACTTCAGATCTATCGGAATACTTTTCCACCTGGAGGACTCCGCCATTCGTGACCATCTTCGTCTCAACCATTGTCTTAAGCTCGCCGAGATGCTGAAAATGCTTACTCATATCTGTAGCAAGGACTGTATCAATGATGACCTTTCTAAGAGCTTTCATCTGAGCCTTCTCAATGTTGCCAAGGAAATTACAAGAAGGATCGTTGAGGAGCTTAAAGGCTACAGCAAGGTGGTGGTTCTCGAGGATGGATTCGTCGTTGTACATGATTGCCAGATCGTCGTTTGAATTGATGAGGAATTGATTGGTGGTGCCGGGATGATCAACATCGTGGACGGCAGCTGCAATCAATACAGCAAGGATCTCAAGTGGACTGAAGACATTCTAAAATAAATAAAATAAATAAATAAATAAATAAATAAAAATAAATAATAAATAATACATGCATAAATAAATTAATAAATAAATATCTGTACAGTATATGTAGGATAAAGAGTTAGGCAAAAATTTTAAAATTAATAGCAATAAAGTACATGCAAAACTAAAAATAAAATAAATGAAATCTCTGCTTTAATTTTGTTACTTATATTGAAAGTCTCTCATTTTTGGTTAGATTGGTCTCCAAAAATTTATTTCTATAGATTTATATGCATGCTTGTACATGTACATGTACATGTATGTACAATAAAAATACATTAATATATAAAATTACCTCAAGTACAGTGGCGTTAAGTAAATAATTGACTGCCTGCATCACGTCAGCTGCATGAATAGAGTTATGATAAGGATTCTGCTTCCAATAGGTATTCTAATTAAAGAGCACCAGCATTAGAGATCGTAATTAACTTATTTATAATGTTAGTTGGAGACTTACTTCAATAGCTACCATGAAGTTAAGGAAGTTGGTTTTTGACATTTTGAATTCAACAAATAGTCCTCGATGCTACAAAAATAAATTACATAATCATTACATCACATGTATCTGTATAGACTTAGCATGTATCTGTATAGACTTAGCCTGTACCATGGTCAAATTTCATCAAAAATGGCTAGGTAAAATTTTGGAATTTTTATAATTTTTTCGGATAAATATACATGTTCTTATGTCACATAGAAAGTTTGAACTGATTCCTATTAAGTTTAGATTTTTTACAAATTTTTAAAGTTGCTCAAAAATCAGGCCAAACTCCCTGTACTATAGTACAGGGTCTTGGGTCAAATTTCGCCAAAATATAAAAGTTGAGAATCTTTGACTTTTATAATTTTTTCTGATACATATACATGTTCTTATGCTACATAGAAAGTTTGAACTAATTCCGATCAAGTTTAGATTTTTTATGGATTTTTAAAGTTGCTGAAACAGTGCATGGTCTCGGGCCAAAATTCATCAAAAATGACCATGAGAGAATCTTTCATTTTCAATAAACTAAAACCACACCTATATTGTATATACTTACAGTGAATATAGTATAAGCACACACGACCAGCGGTTGCTCAAGGGTGAGGAAGTTCAATTCAAAAGCGTCAAATTCCCAACGATGAAAACTATTATTGATAAACTGAAAGGGAGAGAGAGAGAGAGAAAGAGAGGAGAAATAAAATAAAAGAAGGGAAATATTAAGAAAAAGTTATATTATATGCACATGTACATGTGTACAGCGGGTTTATGTACATGTACATGTATGCTAATACATGTACATGTACATGTACATGTAGTGCATTCTCATAACTTACTGCCTGCAATTTCTCTTCATTGAAAACACTTACTACGCCAAACCTACATAAATACAAATAATTAAAAAAAGACCGTGTACATGTACAGTATATAACATGCATGTACACGTACATGATACACATACATGTACATGCATGTACATCTTGATTTATTTTTTAATTTTATTTGTAATTAGCCAATAGATATGCTGCCATGAAGTCACATGCCAAATAATAATACAAACAATATAGAAATAACTTGGCAATAACAATGATGATCATTTGTAAGGGAACAAAGTAGACTATACACTCAAATACAATGTACATGTATACATGTAGACTATGTACATGTACATGTAGATCATTAAAAAGAATTTTTAAGGAACGTAACTATGTACATACAGTACATGTACATGTACATGCATGCGTCTTAATTCAAATACTAACAATGATGACAATAGTCTGGTGTACCTACATGTATATACATTATTTACATGTACATGTACATTTAATAGATTCACATATGTACATGTACATGTATGTTTGGTGTACATGTATACCTTGCTACTTGATCAGTGACTGATGTTGAACGAGCTGCAGATAGCCTTCCTTTAGTCTTAGCTACTTCAAGACCGAGTGAGGTATCAACTACAGACAAGCTTTCCAGCGCTTTGTCTATCTCATCACTTCGGTCTGTTTAAAAGAAGAGAGAGAGGGAGAGAGAGAGGGAGAGAGAGAGAGAGAGAGAGAGAGTAGAGAGAGAGAGAGAGAGAGAGTGAGAGAGAGAAGTAGCAAGAAGTTAAAAATTAGTCCTTAAAATATCTGAAGTACATGTACATTACACTGCATGAAGTTAATATTCATAATAATAATATTCATTTGTTAACAAAAAGAAAAATGACATATTTTTATAATTAACTTTCACAAAAATATCACAAAAATTTGACACCAAAAAACAACAGAAGAAACACAAGTACGAATGTACATGTACATGTATAGGTACAACAATACCTTGAGCATTTCCAGTGATAGTGCTGACCCATTCTGCCACAAACTGACCAGACCTGCTCCTCTCGCTCATGTGAGAGAGTTCCCTGGAGAGCAGCCTCTTGAACTTATCCTGAGCCATGTTCCCAACGCTCTTAGCTGAGTTGACGGTTTCAAGTCGGTGAAGACACCAGTCAAGCTCATCCAGAGTAGTCAGCGCCAGCTATAGATAATAATGATAATAATAATAATTTATAGTATTTAATAATAAATACAAATAATACAGTAGTGGCTCTATATAATGGGCACTTTGGTACAGTAAAGTGTCTCTGTTATACAGAGGTGTCCTTTATGTGGAGGTTATTTTATACAGTAAGGAATATGTAATTGGTACATTACAGGTTAGTACAAAATGCATCCATCATATAGAGTGTCTATAAAACTTAAAAAAGAAACTTTCAGTTCTCGCTTGCTCTTCTATAGCTTTATAACTTGAGGCTCTCTGCAGGAATTAAAGCTACATACCTTGCTTATAGCAGTTAGCAAGCATTGAAGACACATTTACTGTAGGCACAATGGCATAAAAGCCATAAAAAGCTAGTCAGGAGTACAGCTAGCTCAGGCTTCTTCATGCATAGTTAGGCTTCTTTCCTTAACAATCTCTGCTGCTAAAGAAGTCTTTGGACAGCAGCTCAACGTTCACTGTGACAACGCCCACTTTCAATGGCAAGTAGGTTATTTAACATTAAAAATATAGTTACTATTAAAAATATAGCTACACTGTACTTATAAAAATAGTTAACATTAAAAATAGTTACTTCGACTATTCGTGCTACAGATAAACTCACTTCCTGCTTTTCCACCTTAACGGGGCTTGCTAAGGCTAACCCCCAATATTAGCAATAATAATTATAATAATATTTAATTATTTGCTGCAATTACCCGCTCAATTAGTTTATGTAAATGCAAGTACTATGTATGTGTATAAACTGTTTAATTTGTTAGCTCATAAATATCAAATTATGACTAAATTATTCTTTATACATGTACATTTAAAATATACATTAAAAAATATCTGCCGAATCAAAGTTGCAATTTTCACCAATTACTAACATTCCGGAAATTATCACTATATATTGCGCAATAATAAGACAGTCGCTATGCCAACGCTAAGCCCCACCTACCGCTTGATACTCCTCTGGAGAGAGCTCCTCCGATTCTTCATGAACCACGTCCAGACCCGACCCGCGGCTCCTTCGGCGATGATCTGAAATCGGTGGGTGTGTCAGCTTTATGTACTGAGCCCTGATCCTGTAAAGAGTAGCCAAAATCTAAAAAAATTAAACATTAATAAATTAATTAAAGTGGGCGTGGTCTACCTGAGCAAATGGAGTGACAAATGGTGAAGCTCCTTCTTCTTGTAAGTGACTACAAAAAAATTTTTTTTAATAAATAATTTCTTTTATTAACATGCGCGTGCTTTTACGTGTACAATACTCGTTTGTTTACATGCAAACGTAATTTTGTTTACATGTACGCTTTTGTTTACATGTTTACATGTACAGAGACGTCAACATTAGAACAAACAAGTTACGTGTACATGCACGCAATACTGGCCTTAATCTAATAATAATTACATCAATTATACTTAATTAATGCGACCTTAAAAGATGGAACAGCTTGTAGTTACATTGTATATTAAATTAGTGTCATCATCAGAAAACATGAGACACATACACTGTACATGTAGTACATGTACATGTACATGTATATCATATTGCATGTACATGTACATGTGCAACCGGATTTATTAGGCCCACACTACCTGTCTTTAATACAGACAGAAGTGTCCTCATTTCAGAGATACCTTTGTACTATCGGGACATTACAAAAAATTAAGCTCTTGATATATGAACTTCCTGACATTTTATCCCCTTCTCAACATTCTCATTTACATGTACATGTACATGTACTGGTTCTCCTCTTACCTGCTGATACTGGAAGCTCTAGACATTGGATTGTTAGCCACAATGAGAGGGGGAGAGTCCTCGTTATCCGACTGGTAGAGAAACGAATTCCTTCGAGAGGAGAAAAGATGCGGGTTGCTGCGAGCAAAAGTTGGACTCAAATCAGGAAGCTCCTCATCGCTGGTACCTCCTTCTGCACCGCCTTCTTTCTCCGGTGGAAGAGAAACTTCAACTTCTGAGGTGACTGGAGAAAGTTGACCCTCTCTGGTGGCTCTCAGGGGGGCTCTGGTGGTCATGGGGCTTGGGACGCGTCTAAAAGACGAGGGGGAGGACCCCCCGGAGGTCGGGGGGCCGGAATATGTTGTAGAGCGGCCGCGGAACTGGTCTTCATTGGCACTATGTGGTGATGAAAGGGATAATGAATGTGGGCGTGATTATAAAAGAGAAACCTTGTAAATGATATAGGCCCATACATGTAAATAAGAAAATACTTGGAAAATTTACGTTTATATCCGCATTCACGTGTACATGTAACAGCTTGAGTGATCTTGCATGACAAATTGGAAACAAGTACAGATACATTACAAGGAAAGAGTGAAAGAGAACAATCAACCAAACACAAAACATTATAATGGAATGTCTGGCCTAATTGAATTACCAGCAAGCATGTAGATGTGTTCATACTTGATATACAGTATAGTAGCAGATAAAAATACTTGTACATGTACAAGTTAAGCTTCAAGAGCACTTGCTATCAAGCTGTACATTAAACTTAAGCACAGGCCAAGCTCAATTGCTGTAATACCATCTCTTTACTCCTGCTTAATATTGCAAGTTAAGATAAGGTGAAAAGGGTAATGTCTAGAGGTTTCATTATATAATTTCAATTCTTATGATGTCCTAACTCAATTAATACATAGCCAAAAACAAAGATTAAATTGTAATCTATAAGAGAAAAACATATGTTGCAAGAGCAAAAGAGAGAGGAAGAGGGACCAGCAAGTAATTACAATATTGAAAATATTTACACTTGCATACATGTACATGCATATCTAGCACAAAGTATCAATCTATTTATTCCTATAAAAGATATATATTTGGAGATATTATTAGAAAAGAAAAAAGGAACCAAGAAGAGCTACATTAATATTACATTATCGATATCATTACTATATCTATCATCTTCAATATTATGATTATTATTATTATTTCAAATATTTATAACAAAATAGTCAAAGTACATAATGAATATACTTATGCTATACGTAAACACCCAATAACATTATGATGCAAACTATTAAAATCAAGCCTGCTATGCTCCTTTACCAGTAGGAATGTCATGCTACAAGATGTTTACATCTAACTTGAATAACTAGACTACCTGATGGATGCGGTACAAGTAAGTGTCTACGGCAGCTGAATTTTGTGCATTTAAGGTGCTAGCAAAACTTTGAGGCTTAGAGATCAGATAAGAACTTGTAAAAGAGCTATTATAGGCGCCACGCTCTATAAGCACGTGTCGATCTTTATAAGCACGTGTCGATTTTTGTAAGTTCAGTTGCTAACGGGTTGTTTGTTCAAAAACTATCATTATATTCATGCAGAGACATTGTTTATACAGTAAATATGTCTTTTGTTTTTGCCCGCCCACACTATGTTCTAGTATCCTCTTTCTTTCTCTTCCCCCCTCTCTCTCTCTCTCTTTCTTTATCTCCCCCAATCTCCATGTATGTACGTGTTACCTTTCTCCACGGAAAGCTCTTTGAGATGATGCCTGCTGTCCCCGTGGAACTTGCAATCGTATGATGACAGATCGGGACCTGTTCATTCCCCTGCTTTCAATGGTACCACTGCTACCTCGCCTGTAGTACCGATCTTCATCCAAGAGCCTATTTGGACGTGTTACTACTGGGGAATCCATAGGCTATGGAAAAAAGAGAGAGAGGGAGAGAGAAAAGAAAGAATAATGAATTATTATTATAAAATAAAAGGAAAAATGTTAATTCTTTTGCAAAAGAAGGAAAAAGTGCTTGATCTGCTTTGCTCTGCATCATTTGCTAAGATACAAGTATACATGCATTAAAACTTAAAGTATTAAAAAATAATGACTGCTGAATGCAGTAGCTGTGCCCCATCTTGTTCTAAGAGCACGAATTAGGCTGCCTCTCCTTGCCAAAGTCCTTATACCATTTCGCTCTCTTCATCTACCACCTCCTCTTCGTCTTCCTCGAGCTGGTAGCTAGTGATCCCTTCATCCCAAGACCTGCTGCTGACTGGGAGCCTAAAAGTAACTGATTTCCTCCTCGGGGGATCTTCGCCCGGGGAAGCAGACGAGTTGTCCTCTGTAGAATCAGACATGAGCAAGAAGGAGGACGACTCAGATTTCTTCTGCCTGTAAGGTTTTCCGAAATGCCGAGTCGCCCAACAGAAAGAGAGAAAAACTCTGCTTAAATATTGCTACTCACAAGGTTGCTAATTAACAACCACGCCTACTTTGAGCCACACCTACCAGATCTCCCACACTCTTAATTATTTTCCCTAATTTGCATTTTTGTATTCCTCTCCAATCAATTCTTTTGTTTCCTTATGTTGCTGTTTAAGCTGCTTTGATAATGCCAAGACTCTTATGCATCATACTACAGCTAAACCTGTCTATTCCGGACACTTTGGGACCCAATGATACCGTCCTCATTATTAAAGTGTCTTTGTTTCAGAGGTTCAGAGGCCCTGATGATTATAGAAGTGTTCACAGTAGCAGGCTTGACTGTAATATGAATTTCTCTTGCTTACATGCTACAGTTCCTTTCAATGTCCACTACTACAAAATACTTGGCACTGTCCTGTCTCAACTATTTTCGGTAGTGACGGTCATTTTCATGATGAAAGCATGGCAGCACTTGTAATCATTTTTTTTGTTCTAATGTATGTCTTCCTTATTTACAATCTCTTTGTCACTCTTCTACTCCCCTCTGTCTCTCTGATTAGCAGTGTTATCTACATGTAGATCTATATCTAAACTATGGCTTGTTAAGAAATAATACTAATTCCCATTCAGTGCTGTTTGCAGCCTGCTGCAAAGCAAGCCTGGCTGAATAGAATATCATAAGACAACTGTGGTATTCAAAACGCATACATCTACTGAGAATATGCAGTCCTTTTTATACATACACAAGTAGAGTTTGCTCAGCCTGTGCGTGTAATGTCTTGCTTACCCTGAGAAAAGGCGAAGTGCTTCTACGGCGGAGCTCTTCCTGACGGTGATTCACAGCAGTAACGTTTCCCCGCTTGCAGGAATCGTCAGGCCACTCGGTCTCTCTTGGGCCTACATTGGGAGGAGAAGGGAGGTTTACAGATATTCCAGGCATCATTTTTTTGTATTGTATTAAGAGGCAAACAGCTCTAATAATCTCTGTTTTATAGGCTAGCCCTGATCCCTCCTCCTTTTTACTTGGACAAGAAGTGGATGATCTGACCTCGGAAGTCTTGGCTTTAAAAACAGAGACAAAGCGGCCAATCAGCACAATAATAACTGATCAATAGCAAGTAGTATAACTCAATTACCAGATCATATAACACAGTAAAAGAAGCCCAGGTAACACTGTACAGTACAGTGAGTAGTAGTAGGAGTGACGTAGAGATATCTTCTTTACTCAGCAAATCGCAATATAAACAAACGGCCCAATTCAATAATCGCCGAGGGTCGAGGGAGGAGCAAGAATCTTAATGTGATTTGTACTCTCTCTCTTTCTTTGTCCCTTCCCTCTCTTTCTCCCTCACCTTTTTGATGGAGCCCCTGGCCGTACAGATAGAAAAGGTATTGATCTCTTCTAGTTTGGGTTTTGGCTTTCCTAAACTGAAAGTTGCTTTCCTTTAAAGGGAGTCATGTTTATTCTAGTTCATTAAAATAATATGCTATAAAAACAAGTATGAAGATTTAATTTTAGAAGTTTGTTTACATTTATGCCCTGCAAAAAACTACTTACATGGAATTAGCCAAAGATAATTAATAATATTTTATATTGCGTATAAAATCGACCAATCAGATTATGGCGTTCAGAATTCTTTTTTTTTGAATAAATTCTTTTATGCATGCATGGATGATTATAATTATAATTTGCATGTAAAATGTTTTTTAATTGATTAATTGTAACTTTACGTATCAAATTTTACTTTTTATTTGCAAAGGCTGTCGTTCAGCTATACGGTGATCCGTCAAATAGTGACGTGACTGCGGCTGAAAAATGGCTCATTAGTATTCAAGAATCGAAAGAGGTGTGGTCTGTTGCCTGGCAACTGCTCGAAAGAGACGTAAGGATTGGTAGAGATATCCGAAACTTACTCCTCTCTCTCTTTCTTTTTTAGAGAGTTGAAGTTCAAAATTTTGGTGCTCTTTTACTTAAAAATAAACTACTGAAATCATGGTACTTAATGTCATAATATGCATTGTAACTGGTAATTTTTTTGAGGGGTAAAATTTTGTTAAGATGCATGATTAGCAGGTTTTAATTTCGTGAATTTGTGTATTGATCATGCGCGTAACGGTACAAGTTGTAGTACAAGTTACTGCTACTGCTATGCAGTTTATAATGTAACAAAACTCTATATTAATATTTAATAATATTGAGAGTCGTTGATTTTAATTTCTACTCAATTCAGGAATGAAGTTCCCGAGGATCAGTACGAAAGTTTGAGATTTCAAATCTTTCAGTCGATAATGAAATTCTCGGAGAACGGCCAGCCTAAGATGGTCCTCACTCAGCTCTGTGTTGCTATGGTGAGGTACGTCTTTCATTCAATGCCAACCGTTTGGCCTAACGCTATAGTCAGTGTAGTTCACACACTAAGCTCATCACAAGTAAGTTTAATGTACATTAACATGTGTATGTACATGTAGTTTTTATACATATTGATGTACGCTTATGCTCAGGCTTTTTGAGTTATGACCATTTTTAAAATAGGCCATTTTATGAAAAAATCCCTGTACTATAGCCCATGGTTTTTTCCGAAAAATGACTCAAAAATTACTTTCGGTTTTTATTACATTTTCTGATACATATTGATGTCCTTATGCTATGTAGAAAGTTTGAGGCCATTCCGACTAAAACTCTTTGAGTTATAACTACATTAACTTAAATTTTAAAATGACTACCCATACCTTTAATTGGTATAATTAAAGAATATGTACATGCATAGCATATCCTAAGCTATTGCAATTGGTAGTGGTTGGGGAATTTTGTATGGTGTAATGTGTATATCATTCAAAATGAGATCAGAACCTTAAATTAAACAATGAGAGCTAAGGTCCAACTACCATTGGCAGACATCAAGTTCAATGGAATTTAATTATCATGAGATCAGATTCCTCACTGTGCTTATACATGTACATGTACATATACATACTTACATGTAGTTTCTATATTATAGTGCAGTACATATGTACATGTACTTTTATTGTTTTATTTTTCTTCTATTACTACAGGCCCAAGCTAATTTATCTGGTCTGCTAGAGCTATTAAAGGTCCTACCTGAAGAGGTACAGCATGATAACACATGTACATGTACAATTTCCTCTTAAAGGTTATTTCATTTATGTTAATGAGGTTTAATGACATGTACAATGTATTAATAAGAGTAAAGTCAATTAGACCTGCACTTCCTTGAATAGTAAATCCTTTTCTATCTTCCTTTTTATTTCCTCTATCTTTCCCTCTCCCCTCACTGTCTCTCTCTGTCTCTCTGTCTCTCTTTCTCTCTCTCTCTCTCTCTCCCTCCCTCTCTCCCTCTCTCTCTCTCTCTCTCTCTCTCTCCCTCTCTCTCCCTCTCTCTCCCTCTCTCTCTCTCCCTCTCTCTCTCACTCTTAGTTTGAAGCTAGCAGTGACAATGCATTCGCTGGCAAGAGAGCAATCATAAGATCCGAAATAAACAAATCCCAATCAACCGTATTTGGATTCATAGAACAGATCCTCCTATCAAACTCATCTCTTAATATTAGATTATCAGTGAGTAACCAAGTGACTGTGTCTATCTCTTTGTGTGTGTTTATTTGCATGGCTCTGATATTATAAATGAAAGTGACGTCCATGTGTATACTAGTAAATTGTAATAACACCCATAGCTTTAGAGGTATCTTATGTACACACTTACACTGTACTTATGTATTAATGATTATAGCCTATACATATACAGTAGCATATGTTCACACACATGTATGTACATGTACATGTACATGTACATGTACATGTACATGTACATGCATGCATTCTCATTGTAATCATAACAGGAACCGAGAGTATACTTTGTTTGTACTGTGGATACACTTTCTGTGTGGTTTTCTCAGTTCTCTCTCTCTTTTTGTACTTTTTAAGGATCTTTCCTGCTCTCTTTCTCTCTAACTCTCTTTTCCTTCTCTCTCTCTCTCTCTCTTCTCCCTCTCTCTCCCTCCTCCCTCTCTCTCTCTCTCCTTTCTGTTTTTCTCCTTTTGTGGCCCATTACTCTTTTTCTTTGTTCTTTTATGTTGTACATGTACATGTATTTCATCCATTCAGTGAATCAATAGCAAATAAACAATGTTATTGGATATGCAGTACATGTACATGTACGTGTACACCCGTCTTTCATTTTCAGTTTTTTATCATCATTTTTATTAAGTCAGCACAAAACTACTCATGTATGTGAAATACCTGTACATATAGTGTTACTATGATTATACTATTACCCTTTAATTATACTAATTATTAATACCGCACAAGATGATTTATTGGCTGGAGTTATATTTGGAGATTTTGCCTGTGGAAATAAAAAATAAATAAATAAATTGGCAGATTTTGTACTGGCAATTTTGTGCCACGTGCCATTGAGCATGCTCGGATTGAAACAAAATGGCAGATTTTATATATTGGTGATTTATTCATGGAACCGCTAATCGCCAATATTAATTCCTTGCCAATAAATCATCTTGTACGCTATTACCTCTTCCTTAGGCTTTAAAATGTCTGACGAGTTGGTCAGGGTTTGCTCCATTACTCCCAGAGCTCCGGTCTTTAGTTTCTCTTCTGTTCCAACTTCTTCACGACCAGCAGCTGGTGAATGACTCAATTGAAGTATTGACTAGTTTAATAACCAACGAAGACTGCTATAAGTGAGTATATGTGACCATAATTGACAAAAGGTACCTTATGGCGGATCTTTAAATTCATCATTATAATGAAAAATATCAACCTGTGAGTGCTCTGTTAGACAACTATTGTTTCTAAAAGTTACATAGTAATTTTTTGCATCCTCTGGAGTAATTTTATGATAAATAGAGCTCAGGAAGGTGGAATTTTTAGGCTATAAAGACCAATTTTCCTATTCGCCATGGTCACATATGTATATTATTAAATACAAGTATAATATGCATAAGATTAGACACGCCAATACTGTAGGTATATTTTATAAAGTATAACATTAATTGTATAAAATTGTACATGTACATGTAGCAAGTTTATGATTGCACCTAGTTGATTTATTAACTTGGGAAAATGAAGTTGTATAATACTTTAACACTGATCTACATGTACATGTACATGTATTTCAGGGGGCTATTGAGCCAAATTTTTAGCTAAGGGGGCAAATGCTAACTCCTCTGTGTACTGTAACTATAATTGATATTCTTATTTTGGTTTAATTGTTTTCTCTTTTCTTTTTATTGTTGTGTTTGTTGTGTAGGTATCCCACTGCAGTGAAGGAGTTTCAGTTGCTTTTAAATAGCAAATCGGATTTCATTCAAACATTACTTAATGATACTGATAGAGATAATGTGAGCTAGGGGAGAGAGAGAGAGAGGGAGAGAGAGAGAGAG